GGGGTCCTGGATTGGAGAGGGTACAGGCTGGGCTGAGGGACCCCCCACCCCCACCCCCGTGCACAAATTTCGTGCACCAGGATATATATGTATATATATGAACATAGGGATGTAGATATGCGACACATAAGAACCTGCCCCAATTCTCCACCTCACAGGCCTCTGAAAGCCCTCCTCCTCCGGGAAGCAGTCTCTTCCAGATTCCATGGTGCTGTATAACCGGGGCCACACAGCCCCCCAATTTCAAGGTGTGCAGATAGGTGTGTATTTTTCATTTGACTAAACAAGACATTTAGTAGAATTAAACTATTAATATATTCTGCAAATCCTATTTCAGGAAGAAGCAGAAAGATACATTCCTGTCAGACTTAGAATTCCGATTTTTATTTAACAAATATTTTAATCACGAAGTTTGCTGTATATATCCACCCATCCATCCATCCATCCATCCATCCAGAGACACCCGTTTCTTTCCTGCGTATTTAGGTCTTTGGCTGCACCAACGTCGCACTTTGGTAGACAAAAGCAGGCTGTGGGCACTGTGGCCCTGGTTCAGTAGACCGCTCCTGAGTTGGAAGAGTCTGGAGTTGCCAGGATCATATCAGTGGGTGTCCCTGTACCCCAGAGCACTGTGGGCCTCGGAGGCCCTGGATTGAAATTCCTCTTCTCTAGGCTACAAGGTCATGACTCAGGCCCGTTACCTCTTACAGTTATTTTCCACTCATACCAGTCTTCCCGCTTCTCACTTCAGTGGTTCAGTTTCTCCGAACCACTTTATACCCTTCAGTCCCTACAGTCGGTATGGGCCTTTCAATGTCCCAGGGGGGCTTTCTGGGCACAGCAAAGACCAGTTACAGGTACGTAGGCCTTTCATTAAGTTTCAGTGTTCTAAGGGTAAAAATTTAAAACATCAAAATTTCCTTTACTAGAGATAACAATCGAAAGTCAAATTGTCCTTAAGTCTTCAATTCGATTCGTTCTCTTTGTAGATTTGGAAATGTTTAAATAATCAGCTATGCACTGTAGCTTGCAGAGGAAGCATTCAAAAACCTCTATCAACTCAAACTGAAGACTCATTTAGAAATACAATGAAGTGCATTTCCTTAAAAACCTACCTTGCATTTATAAACTTACTATATTTAAAATTTAAAAAGCACTTAGTATGTGTGGTTGGGCAGGTTTCGAACCAAGTCTCCCAGAGCACTCAGCCAGGTTCATTAGTTATCAAATACACGGCGGCATCGCTGGCCACCGGAGACACAGCTCTGAACAAAGGAGAACAACGAATGACAATGCGGAAAACTCCTGACCTCACGGAGTTTGCCTTCTGACAGCTCTTTAATCCATTCAGCTCTTGCAAATCTAATAACCTGAAGTTTTAAATGAGGAGAATTTCAAAGTCAAAATTCTCATACTTTTCAACTCAAAACGGCAAGTCTAAAATCAATTATACATTCAAACTAGAATCACAACGCAAATGTGTCTGATTAGTGTCTTTAATTATCTGATATGGCAATACCAAATGTACAAATTATTCTTAAGCCTGAATTTTAAAAATCCTAATACTATAAAATTGATTTGCTTTGTCATTTCTCTATTTAATTCTAAACTTTCCTAGTAGATCCTGGGCCTATGCACCTGAGCTTACTTCATAATCCACATTGTCTCTGGTAGGTCCACCGATTTGAACCCAGGACTAGGAACATAGGGCTTGCATGGGACCAGGGCGTCTCCCCATGGGACAGGTGCACACATGGAGTCTGATTTGCACGGTGGCTACAACAACTGGAACTTCACACCCACTGTCTTCAGATAGGATTGGTCTCACAGTAGGCCGTTTGCTAGATTCAAGCCTTACCTTCATGACCTCGGTTGTGCTGTGATCTGAATGGATACATTGCTTATCGGCCCTTCCTCTCCTACTTTAATCTCAGCTCGGATTCAGCCACCTCAGCCTGCTTACTGCCTGCATCCTCTGTGCCCAGCGTTGTGGTGTTAGCTGCAAGGGCATCTGCCGACAGTATGGACACTCGATGATGTCACTCCCCTGCTAGGCCCGCATTCAGAGGTGCCTGAGTGGAGGTGTAGATCTCTTTCCATAATATCTCTCATGCTACCCCTCCCCGTTCTTTCAGAGGAACAATGAATATTTCTGGTTTAAGTTAACTGCAATTCAAACTTACTTTCCAGAAAACTCTGGGCTGACCCCTCCCTTCAAACTGATTGTCTCAAGCCCTTCTTCATAGAAATCCTAAAACACTGCTTTTTTTCTTCTCTTTTCCGTACAGCCCTTCAGTGGCTCACACTGCACTTGGAATAGAATACAAAATCCCTAACATGGCCTGCAAGTCACTGTATGATCTGGCTCTCGCCTTCCTCCATGACCTCATCACACACCTTTCTCTCATGCTCCATTTCCAGTCACACTGGCCTTCTTTCTCTTCTCCCAACAGAAGCCAAGATTCCTTCCCACCCCAGGGCCTTTGTATGTGCTGTGCCCACTTTCTGTTAACATCGTTTCCCCACTCAGTGCTGGGATGACTCCTCACCCTGTAGGTTTCCGGTGAACTGTCATTTTCCCAGAGAGGTTGTTGTTCTTTGTAGAATGCACTCAATCTGTGCACTTATTTGCTTACTCCTTAGACCGGAAGCTGCATGGGACCATGTGGTATTTTGTTTGCCCAACATCCACCCCAGTGCAGGCCTGTACTAGACAGTCCATAATTATGTGCGGAATGAATAAATAGCACCGTTGCCACAGCAATCGCCATTAGCCTTCAGTCATTACTACTGTAATCAGTCATATAACCGCTTTCGGCTCATGGGAGGTCCTGAGTAATTGTTTTTTTGAATTGAATTAAGATACATAAATGCTAATATCTTCTGCATTCATCAGTGCAATATTGTTTATTACCTTTCTGTTTCTTGACACATTTAGTCTTCTGTAGCTTCTATAGCTGTAGTCTTTCTGTTCTGAGTGGTCCTCTTACAATAAAGAAGACATTTTTGGCAAAATGTGTCTTTGGTGGGGGGAGGGACTATCCTTTCCTAACTTTTAAAAAATGTCACTGAACATTAGTTAATTGGTTTACAGTTAGTCATAAACTTAGATTAGTGTAAATATAAGTTCCATGAAACTTAATGATTTTTATTTGTTTGTTTTATACCCCGGGTATCCCAAGAGAGAGAGATTAGTTACATTAGCCTCAGGTTACAGAGGGCAGCCTCAAGATATTGAATGGGGGCTCTAGTTCTGGATTCTGTAATGCTTGTGGCTGAAACCCCGACCCGCTCTGCACGGTTCTCCAAAACCTTGCTGCCCCCCCCACCCCCACACCCTAAAAAAAGAATTCAAGCCTTGGAATAGCACTGAATTATGCTAGAACTGAATCTTAACCATTTAGAGCCCGCTGGCTTTTTTTTTTCTTTCGGTATCAGCTGAAGACCATAGCTCCATACGTTTTAGAACCCGTCTCTCCACCAAGGCACCTGTGGTTATGAAACTGCAGCATAAGGAAAATGATTTTGAACGGTGCATCATCACAGATGAGAAACCCGCTCAAAGATGCGACATAAAACACGATGTCCAAAAAGAAAACGGAGGCTTGTTGTTGTGCATAACACCGGAGCGCCGTTGGAAACCCGAGCAGGGAGCTGAGTGCTGGCGGAGCGCCGGTAGCAGCGCAGCGTCGCGGGGACTCACGGCT